GATACTCTTAAGTGAAATAAATAGGACACACGTGAGTAAATACCAAATAGTTTCTCTGGTGTGAGAAACTGAAAGTGTAAATAAGGATCTAAAGGAATAATAGATAATGTGAAATAGGAAGAAAAGGTCCAAAGGGGAAGGGGAAGGGGAAGTGGGAGGGGTACAGGAAAGGAAATAAGGGAATGGAATTAATATGAGAAAAGGGAAAAATGGAAACAAAGTCTTTGTAAATAGGGAGGGGTGGAGGGGTTGAAGGGAGGGCAGGGGAATCGGGAAAAAATAAGAACCAAGATAGATTATATAAAGGTACAAATGTCCAATGATGAATGTCATTATATTGTATACCTAAAATGTACCAATAAAATTTAAAAAACAAACTAAAATTATCCCTGCTACCAAGTATACCTAGCAATTAATATTTCCTATATTTCTCAAGTATTAGGGTCACACTGTCTTTTAAGGACATGAATGGCCCTAAAGAGTCTTGTAGTTTAAAAAATATAATATAGTTAACCAAACTTAGTACAAGAGGAAATATTACTAAGTGGTTAAGAATGGGAAGTTCTGGAGTTAAGCTTTGTACCTCACGTCCCTCCACTTACTAGTTACAATATCCAGACATCTTATCAGATTTAAAGCTAATATCACAGAACTTCAGGTTAGGAGCTGGCACTGCCCATCAACACAGAGATGGAAATGGCCTGTGGTATATCACTCCAGTGTTCTGAAGCATGCAGAGTGAAATAAAGTAGCAGCAATAATGACAGCAGCAGGATTCAACTTGCCTACTATACAGGAGCCCTTCAAAATCCTCAACCTCAGTTTCTGGTACCTTGGACATCATTCCCATTTTCCCTTTTATAGTCTACAATATCCACCAGGAGCCCAGGACTGTATACTGGTCACTCTGCTGGTTTGAATGTTGCCAGCTCTTTCTAAGGGTTAAACTCTTCTTCAATTCTTATTCATACAAAGATCTAGGTTGAAATTTCAATTCAGATACATATCTGTGCTCAAATTTATTGACAAATCTCAAATCCATACTTTACTTTTACTCCAGCCCTGTTCCAGCAGTTCCAGCAGAAAAAGGGTTGCTGCTTCTGACCCTGAATTTTTACTATTCATGCCTCAGCTTCCTTCTAGCTCAGTCTTTTAGATTTCTAGAGTATCCTGTGGTCATGCCAATTTGCATTTTACTTGTGCAACCATGTACTAATCCAGTATTTATTAACCGCTTCCTATATCCAGGCACTAAGTTCAGGTGATATAATATTGAAAAACAGATATTCCCCTTTTCACTCAACATACATTTTAGTAGAGGAAAAAGACAAATGAATAAATAAATAAAATCATTTCAAATAGTGAAATGTCCTAAAAAAGAAACAAACAAAAAAACCAAGATGAGATTATAAAGTAATGGTGATGGGGAGAAGGAAACTTAGTGAGGGAGTCAAATTAGGTGTCTGAGGGGTAGAGACACCTGAGCTGAGACCTGAAAGACAAGGAGGAACCAGGCATGGGAAGACCTGGTACACAAAGTAATGGCCAGAACCAGGTTCTAATTTGGAGGGAAAAATATGGCAAGTCAGGGTGACTGGAGTAAGCTGAATGAGAGGGGGCAACCACAAGAGATGAGGTCAGAAGGAGAGGCAGGGTAGATGTGGCCCAAGCTTACAGCCAAGGTAAGGAGTTTGGATTTTATTTTCATTGCAATACAAGGCCACGTAAGAATTTCAAGTAGGGAGTGACATAAGGAATGATTAAAACCATCCCTGTTCTTGGGGCCATACAACTATAGTAAGTATGTGCTTAGCAATATGTCAGTGGTTCTCAACTAAATCCCACATTGTTTGCTGAAAATCACACTAGGGATATTATGGTACTGTAACAGAATGGAAGCTAAAATTATGACACTATCACCAAAAGATATCCCTGTTGGCCTCAGAGAAATGTTACAGTATAATTTAAGAAGGCAGAATTTCATATATGTTAATAACTCTCATTAATAAGATAAACCCTTCCTTTTGGGATTTGGCAGTGATAATTCAAGCAGGAGTGTTACCTGAATCCTAAAATAATAGTTTTACAGAAAAAGAAGTGCTGTTCACAGTGACGGCCTCATCTGGAAGGTAAGAGAATTGGAAATGTAAAGATGGTATCTGTAACAAGTGTCATTCTACTATTTTACAGCTCCTGCCAAAATAGCTTTTAAAATATATGTATGAAAGCAAGTTTCCAATTAAAAAATAAATCTCAAATATAGACAAACTTATGGGCCCCACTCCCTACAATTATACTGAATGACTAAGTGGGTGTTACAAAGATGAAAAGGCAGAGCATTTCCTTCTAAGCCTGACAGACACCTTCCACATTTTCACTGATCCTTTATCTGAAGTGAAGACCTACACAGAGAAGCCAACTCCTGAAATGTTCCTGATAAGAAAACATCTTTCCGGAGGTAATGGCAGGGACAAAACTTCAGCAGACACTATTCACAGGATTCTGACAAGTTTCTCTTTACCTTCGAAGTCAGGTAAGTGTATGTACTCCTGACAATAACATTCAGCAAACAGACTGAAACCAGATGGAATGTAATCACCGAGAGAGGGACATTAAGCAATTAAAACCCAGATGACTCCAAGAGCTACTCTGATTAAAAATGATGAGAACAGGGCTGGGGATTTAACTCAGTGGTGCTGCCACCTGCCTTGTAAGTGCAAGGTCCTGAGTTTGATCCCTGGTACAAAAAAAAAAAAAAAGATGAGAACATACTAATGCCACCAACAGCAGGACAGACTTTCATGCACTTTGTTACATGGGACCATGATGATATCCTTAAACAGAGCAAGGCCTCCTTTGTCTCCTGGAGAAGAAATACAGATTGGTCCTCCTCTCAAATCCCTCACACTTGGTTTAGATTTCTCTTTTACCTTTAATCTTTTTAAGATTTATGTTGAGGTTACTATGCAATAAAATTATTCTTGATTTATGTCACAAATGCAAGACCATTCTCTCTCCCCCAGTATACCACAAAATTCTAGAAGTCAGAGTCATTTCTCTTGCTCCTCACTCACTGATAGCATAAAAATTTCAAACAGTACAGGAGAGAGGGAGGGAAATAAAAAATGTCATCCAGCTTCATTCCCCCAAAATAACCAGTGCTAAGCTTCTCATAATCTCACTCCATAAAAGCTTGTGGTTACATATAATCTTTTATGTTATTCAATGTTAAACCACTGAGCAAAATTTAGAACATAGACTGATATAGAATTTTAAATCATTTCTAGTTCAAGGCAGTATACAAATAAAGAATTATACATTATTGCAAAATAAAGGTGTGTGTGTAGACATACCCAGTATACACAACCTGCCTCTCCCATATTCACACACTTTCTACTTCAACACAACTACAGGTGGAACAACCCTGGTTCAGGCCTGGTGAGACCAGTTTGGTCTCTAGTCCACAAGGTGTTCAACACACTCCATCTCTTTGGACCTCAAGTTTCCTCTCCTACAAATGAGGAGGTGTTCTTTATGGCCCCTTTGAGAGTCTAGGTTAAAGTTGACTGGATAACACCAACAAATACAAATAAGAATGCGATGGCCAAAGACAAATATTGCATCAGTGCCCAAGGCTCAAAAGAAGCAAATCACAGAGACAATGTAACAGATTTCCATTAAGAATATGGATATAGATGAAATTGGAGGAGCTGCTTAATTTTGAGATACAATTTATAAGAAAATCTTTATCATGTAATAAAGGTATACCAAGTAATATATACTGCTCCTGAAATTAAGATACACCAGCAACCCTCCAGAGACAGAAACAACCCATGTTTCCTAATTTCTCAGGAATGCATGTGGTATTCCCTCTACAATCTAAGTACTTATATTTTTCCATTGTCATAAGTCATACATGTGTTCACTTACTTTTCGTAACTATAGGGCCACAACTCAAGGCATCAGTTAACATCTCAATTCTCATCTGCTACTGTATGTGACAATTAATTGTCTCAACAGGGAAACAATCTTCCTGTTGGTCAGTTTGTATCAGCAGCACCAAGTTGTACCAGGAGTACAATTAAACATCTGGAGTGCAGAGTGCTGAGAAAAAAGTCTGAGAAGAGACAGAGAAATAGTGCTGAAAGCAGGAAGGACATCACCCAGGTTGAAGACTCAACTGGCAATTTGACTTTAAGATAACAGTAGCAAAGCCTTTAACAATAGTTGAACATCCTTGTCCTAAAGCAAAGCTGGGAGGAAAGAAGTGGTACTTATAAGTATCTTTGCTAGATCTTCTTGATATTTCCCTCACAAGCGGGAAACATGGAGGGTGAGAGATCAAGCCCTGGAGTTAGAGAGCTGTGGGTTCTGCCACTGCTAGACAATTCCCTACTCAGTTCCAAGCCTCCAAGTGTTCACTTACTTGAAAAGAGACAAAGCAATGCATGCATTATTATTACTACTACCATCTGGAACCATGTGTTTCTATGAGCTATCTACTTCTTGTGAAAAACAGGACTTAATAAAAACAATTACAAGTAAAACCGAGAAAGCACACTGTACTAATGGAGCCATTACTTACCTGAAAGGAATTCATTTGGCGAAGGGATGGAGGCAGCATGGCATTGCTCCTTGATAGTATCAACAGCAGTTCCAGGCAGGTTGCAGAGGGCAGGGTCAAAGAGTGAACGCTGATGTCACTTTCCCACAAACTGGCAAGCCTAGAACACACTGACAGGTTAACTTTCATAAATGTACTACCATATTTATTTTTAAAATTTGATATAATAAGAAAGACTTTTAGTTGTAGAATTTTAAAAAGTGTACAAGTAGAAATAAAATACATTAAAAATTCATGAATTAAAGTCCGAGGTATTTTTATAGTGCTGTTGGTATAAAGTGTATGAGATTAGGCAATTTTCAGGCTGAGAGCGATTAATGGCTAACACAGAATGCATCCTATGTTCAATATGCTCTGTTCTACATGGAATTCCTTGTTCAAGCCCAGACAACCTAAGCAAAGGAAGTACTGTTATCTCCATTGTACAGATGTACAAACTGTTTCTGAGCCAGGGAGACCTGTATGAAACATCTAGTTCAGTGATTTCCAAACTTTTAAAAGTGACAGGATCTTTTGTCAAAAAAAAAAAAAATCTCATAACAGCCTCAACTTTACAAATAAAAGCAAAGCTGCTGTTTGAAAGGGAAAGTTGGCCAAAGGCCTCCCTTCATCTTCCACAGTGGCCCTTGAAGCAGCTCTGTTGGATCCTGTGGAGCCTATTTGACAATCCTTTCATTTGTGAGATCAGGAGACTGCGGGCTAGAAACTAAAGGGACTTGTCTGAGATGAGGCACAAGTATAGGAAGTGATAAGGCTGGGTCTAGAATCCTGACTTTCTGACTAGTACTTACTACTGTAAGTAGTAGTAGAAAGGTCAGGAAATTCTGAGAAAAGAACATAAGAATAGCATGAACGCCATGCTTTCAATTCTTCTACTTAAGTGTTTTTTGCTTGATCCCTTGCCAGTGTCTCCTATCACTATCCTACTTTTTAAAGAGAAATATTCATATATAAACACATAACATTTACACATCTACTTCATAAACATATATGAACTTTTCTGTGCCTTGTACGAACTTATCTCTGCAGAGCTATCTTTACCTAAATCAGTAGTGAATACTGGAGCCTAGATGAGAAAATAATGGATTTAAAGTTTGTGAGATGAGTCATGGCAAATGATTCAGCTGTATTACCAAATTATTTATTATGATGATACATTTCTCATGTGGATGACAGAGTAAATTCTCCTTTGAAGCATTTGCTAACTACCTAGACTGGAGTGGGCACTGCTCACTTTCCTAAAAATGCACCAATTTCAGAAAGGAATGTTTGAGTGTCTTTTCTGTGTTTTAAAAATGATTGTTTCAAATTCTTTCTGGTTTTGCTCATTATATAACTTTCTCAACATTTCTCTGGAATAGAAATAAAAATGCTGCTCTCTTTTAAAAAATTCAAACAGTTCTAGTACAGTGGCTCAGAGCTCACTCTCCACCCCCCTTCCTTATGCCATCCACACTCTATACAGTTACTTTCCATCCTCTGAATAGCCTTACACTGCATGTTTTGTGCCTGGCATATACAGTTTTCTGGGCCTTGAAGGCTGTTATTGTTACTGAAGAACCTCTACTCATCCTGTCAGACCTACTTACGTGTCATTTCCTTGGCAATACATACCTAATACAATACTTACCATTGCCTTACTAGTATTATTTGGGATGTGTCTAGGTGTTTAATTCTTGCTAGATCAAACATGAGTGAATTCCTCTAACTTTGTGGCCTTATGGAGAATGAAAGATTAGAAAATTGCCTCAAAAGTGCTTTTCTAAACACACTCAAGAATTAACCATTTTTTGGGGGGTGGGGCAGGAGAGTAGTTTACATTTTTATTTACTTTTAACTGATACATAAAAACAAAAATTGTGAATATTTATGTGGTGCCTACCATGTAATATTTCAGTACATGTATATACCGTATAATGTTTAAATCAAATTAAATATACCTATCTTCTCAAAATATACCTATCTTTCTCATTGTGAAAACTCAAAATCCTTTCCTTTTTATCGTTGTTATATATTTGCTATACATATTACGTTTATCTTACAGAATTGGTATATATATGTGTTACATTATGATCATTTTTACTCCTCCGTTCAATATTCTGCTAAATGGTTATGGTGTAACCCATCAAAAAGGACATGCAAATAGAGATTAAAGTATATTAGCACTGCTTTGTCCCTCACCAGCAAATGACTTCAGACAAGCACTCCAGAGCCTGGCTTCCTCAGAAGACCTTGGAGTCATACATAACCTATCCATTATGTCAAACCACCAAAATTTACTCAAAGTAACATTGATAATATTAATGATAGCCAGAGTTACAAAAAAAATTAAAAAATTAAAAGTTACTAATGTTAGTTATCCACGTTATGTAGATAATATGGAGAACTGTATGATTTTCAATTATTCCTTAAAAGATTCTGTGATTTAACAATTTTAAAGCTCATAAAGGTAGTGTGTGGTCCTGATCACAGAGCCAGTGACTGATGGAAAAGAAATTCAAGCATGATCTTCCCCATCTATATCCCACTCATTTTATTACAGCATAAAAAAGGCATAACTATACTAGTCATTACTAGCTTTATCCAAAAAGATTAAAAACCCCAAAGGGAAAATGATAGGGGAGATTTCAGGTATCATAAAATTTCTCATTTTAAAATAATCTGAACAAGATTTTTCTTGTAATTAGACAAACCATTTAGACCCAATATGGTCAAATTCCTAATATTCATCCTGTCTTTCCTATTCCCACAGCATATTTTTCAACAGTCCCAGAACTTACTTTTTTCTAATGTTGAGTTAAAAACTTTCTATAAATTTTAATTACATATTCTTTTAATCATATAAAATATCTATATTTAGGAACAAATACATTAGTAGGTAAAATATTAAAGCAGTTGTTTCATACAGTAAGAGCTTTGGGTAAGTTCTTACTGTAAAATTTTAATGTTTTCACATTGTTTTTTTTTTAATTTAGGAAAAAAGAAATAAAGGGAAGACAGCAAAGATGAGGGAAGGAGAAATGGCTTGGCACACCTAAAAATTCAGTTTATCTTAAAACAATCACCAAAGTTATTATGTGAAATTAGAAAATGTGGATGGGACCAGAGGTGTCATTTGCAACTATCCACCCATTTCTCAAATATCAGTAAAAACATCTGTTAATAATACAAGCATTTTAAGAAACATTTTAAGAATGTAGATTACTTCTGATATTTCCTGCAAATTACCATGCACTATTAGACCTAAATCTGTAGCCTTCCCACTATAAATCAACAAGAAAGATATTTCAAAGGGAACAATGAACTCAACATCAACAGAGACCTATTTCTGTGATTTTTAAGGCACTGGGAAGGAAAAGCATTCCTAAGAGAGCAGCACTGTCAACCAAGTGACCTTCATCTAAAAGACCAAAATGCAAGCAGAGGATATACCATCCTTATTTTTAAACTTTTGCCTTGAGAAAATTCCCTAGAGAAGCAACTATGGCCTACCTATTTTGAAAGAAGCACAGAGAAGGGTGCAAACAGTCACTTTCTCTCACTTCTAACAAAAATGTTAAGATGCAGAATGAATCAAACCAATCTGAAGTGAGAGAAAATAAAAAGGTGATACTGTCTTTTAGGGAACATGGAGGTCATTATCCATAATGCTAAGCGAGATAAATCAAGACACAGAAAGTTAAATTTCACATGGTTTCTCTTACATGAGAAACCCAAAACATAAAATAATTTCAAAAGCAAAATAAAAGATAGATGCTAGAAAATAAGGAGATAGACTTTGTAAACATGGGAATCTGGGGAATACAAGGTCTTTATCTCAACCTGATTAAGGCAATTTATGGAAAACGAACAGCCAACATCATACTAAATGATCAAAAACTGAAAACTTTCACGCTAAAATCAGGAGCAAGACAAGGATGCCCACTATCCCCACTCCTGTTCAATATAATTCTGGAAACATTAGTCATACCAATTAGACAAGAGAAAGAAATAAAAGGAATAAAGATAGGAAAGGAAGAAGTTAAACTGTCATTATTTGCTGATGATATGATACTTTAC